ATTGATATTTGAATATTGAGCATTGGACTCTGAATCTTGAACCTTGGATATTGAACACGCAATATTGAATATTAAATTATGAACAAATTGTCAAGTCGTGGATATTAAACATTAGATATTGAGATATGAAGATTGATTTGAATATTGATATTTGACTATTGAGCATTGGACACTGAAACCTTGACTCTTGAACCTTGAACAATGAACTTCAAACCTGCGATCTTAAACTTAAGACATTTTTCGTATTAGACATTGGATTTCGACCCTCGAACCATAATCGAATAATTCATGAATGACATTGATTTCAGCCTATTTATATAGTAGAAAAATTTACTTGATACGATATACAAACAATACTGTATTTTCACTCGAGTTGAACTTTGCTATTACACCTCTGTTTCCTCGAACCGACAAATAGGTAGAATTTATATCTGAAATTGACAGAGATATTCCTTTTTGATCGCTTCATGGGATATGCAGGATGTCGAAGGAAGAGAGAATTGAGACGTCAATTTGACTTATGCGAAACCGAATAAAGCACAGGCACGTGCACCTGTCTTCAGGTAATACCTTATGAATGACAAATAACCAGCGGAGGTATTTGTTACCGCGCTCGAATCCGCGAAGACCAATGCTGAGAAGGGACTGACGGCATTTTCGATTGACAAGAATATTTCCAGGCATCGACCCTCCTTTCCATTCATTTCCTGCGCCTACCCCATTCGTTCTTCAATCCCTATTTATCAAGAAACTGGAAGAGAATGTTACGTGCTATTGTTAACGCGATCCCAAGCATTTTATATTTCCTTTTAATTCTTCAATTAAATCCTAATCTTTGCAGTTTTTACTTAAAAATTCTATCAATATTCATCAACGTCATTTTTGCTAATTTACTAGAATAATTTTACACTTTTCCAGGTCCTCGATAACATCTCGCATAAAAGATATCCTTCATAATTAATTTGCAAACTTCTCTCGTGACTCCGATAAGATAATTGGATGTGTGATTCCAATGAAAATTTACAATTAAAGTGTCTCATTTTGTATAGTATAATTTAAGTAAATGTATCACTGCGAAGACAGCACGTTAATTAACGTTTAGCAGCATCCTCTAACTTTTGAAAACGAATTTGTATTCCATCTTGAAATTAAACCATTCGTCTTGATCACAAAGAGTAAAAGCAACCCTTAAATAACACACGCAAGGAAATTTATGCCGCGCATGTTTCTCTCATTCGAGGTCCTCGCGAGAATTACGAACTGAACCAGAAGCAATTATACGAGGTTAAAATCTAGAAGGTCTTCGCCATTGGTCTGGAACGTACGATAATTTGAAGACTATGACGACGTTTAAGAGTAACTAACTTGTTCTAGAGGTGTGTTTGTGTCGTAGAATCTAGTATGCGTGTACGATTCGTGAAGGCATCTCGTTCGAAGCTACCATTGGAAAGTCGTAATTAGTTTAATTACTCTGCTAGCATCTTTCGCGACATTTTCTCCGTTCTTTGCTCGTTAAAAGATGTCTTCTGACTTTCCACGCATCGTTTCCTTGGAAATCTGAATCTCCGACGTTCAACTTTATTTAGTTCCTGGATTTTAATTCGTGATAATAAGTTGAGTGGATTTTTTTACTCTTGGTTCTCGAAGATAAATTGAGATAAGAGTGCAGTATAATTATTTTTAGAGGGATATACAACTTTTAGTATCTTTTTAGTATCTTTTGTAACTGAAGAGGTTTCTGAATAAATTAAGACGATTATGATGAATTGTTTAAATTAAAGGTTGAATACAACATTGGGAAAAGTTAATAAAGGCAAACATGATGAAGATCCAGAAGAATTATTTAACTTTAAGATAGAATAAAAAATCGTCAACATTAAAATATAACAATGAAGACAAAGATGAGTTCTGACGGAGATGAGAAAAGCTAAAATGAATTGTTTATTTTGAAGATGAAGTACAATTTCGTCTTCAACATTGGAAGATCCTGGTAAATACCAAGATGAATTGTTTAATTTAATGATAGAATAAAAAATCATCGTCAATATTGGGAGATGCTAACAAAGATCAAGATGAATTCTGTCAGACCTAATCCAAACCAATGTAAATGATTCGAGTTGGAGATGAAGAACAAACTCGTCATCAACATTGGAAGATCCTTCCGAAGACCAAGATGAATTGTTCCCTACATCAACATCGAACAGTGCTACCAATTGTAAGAACCAAGATGAAACAGACAATCGCTCCGGCAAATTGACATAAACAAGCAAAGTGCACAAGACCGAATAAACCGAAAATTCCCAGTAAACATTGGACCAAGTAAGGAACATCATCGAAGACAATCGTCTCACGAAATTACCACGAGCAACCAATGCTTAAGTCCGATGGTTTCGGACCTCGAGAAACACCGCAGAGACTCGAGCGCAAACAACGAGATACAACGAACTGGAAATTCATCGAAGGACAAATTCGCGTTCGCTTCGAATAGCCGACGCCCTTAAAACAGATTAATGTTAACACCCTCGTTCACCCTTTCTGCGAGGGAGTCGGGTCCCGATGCGCGTCGATTCAAACGTAAGACACGTGTGAGTTCCTTTTCAAGATGATTAAAAAACACGAGCCCTCCTTCGACCCGTACCAACTCTGGCGAGAGAGACAGGGAGGAGAGAGAGAGAGAGAGAGAGAGAGAGAGAGAGAGAAAGAGAGAGAAAAAACATAATACAAGAGGAAGAAACTCTCTGCCTGCCCCCTTCCCCCTCCACGCAGATTCAAGGGTGTCTGTGTCGTTCGCAGCGGCAGCGCGATCAGCCAGAAATCCGACACTCGATGAGAAAGCTCGAGGGGGATGACTTCGCTCGCTGGAAAAGTTTCTCCCCATTAAAGAGATGAGATTTCATCGAAGGTCCTCTGTATCTTACTCCTCCCTTTTCTCTGTCGCGGCCGCGTCGCCGAGTTCCTCTTTCAGAGTCCGCGCCCGCCATCTTCCCTCCCTCTCACGACCCCCGCTTTTTTTTAATACGCCTTTTTACCTGTCCCGCTTTTCATTTTGCCGACGAGAAAGCCGCGGGCGGGATTAAATACCCGCGTTAATCCGATTCGCTGCAAATGTTTTCGAGCGGCTCGCCCTCCCCTCCGTCGCTCACGGTCTCCGCTCTGTATGGCCCTCTTTCATCTCAGGGGTTCCCAAGCGTGGGCTACTGGGGGGCCGGGATCGTCTTCACGTGGCCCACGGGCTGAAAGTGATATCTTGAACAAAAGTATGAAGGAATTGTTGGTCGAGTACTGAGAAGAGAACAGGGAAAGCTTTGCAGTTCTGTAAAATAAACAGTTTCTTGGGTATTGTATAATAACTGCATAACATGCGTGTGAACTGTTTAATATTTTTAGAGAAGTGAGTTGTTCGAAGAAGTATTGTGAATGAAAATTTGACTTCGAAATGGCATAAGTTGAAATAAGACTATTCAAGTTTCAATCCCCTGGCTTTTAGGATACAGGAACCCGGTCTCAATTTTCCTGCAACCTAACAAGCATCTCTGTGTTTAATTTTTGTAGTTAGATACTCTTTTTCAGTATGAATAAAAATTGAAACAAGAGCATTCAAGTGTCATTGCTTTTCAGAATGCTGCACTCTAGTTCGAATTTTTCTGCAACCTGACAGACATGACAGTGTCCACTTTCTACCTATACACTCTGCCTCAATATAAACACAAGTCGAAACAAAAGCATTCTAGTTTCATCCCCCTACTTTTCAGAATACAGAACCCTAATTCCAATCTTCCTGCAATCTGATAGCCATCACTATTTTCTAACAATTCCTGCCAACTTCTACGTATTTTCCAAAGTGCTTGAGCCAAATCTATGTATCAATCTCTCGTAAATATCTGTTTCCTCAACTTTCTATTAAACTACGTCACGCGAACTGACGTTAGTTCTGCAAGCTGCTAAAGGTTGGGAAACGCTGATCTCACCTCTCCGTGCTTTTGACTCGACGGAGCTTTCTCGCGGACACGTTTCACACGTGTCACACACGGCCAGGGGTATGTACGTTGCATGCCTGCGCTGCCTGAACACCTGGGGGAGGGATGGTTGCTCGATAACGTCGTCGTGACGGAGGCAAGGGGTAAAGCTGCGTCTCCTCTCCTATATATCATTACTTCCTCGGCCTCGTAATCTCGGTCGCCGTGCTAAATTTATTCATGACTCGGATAACCGTGTTAAGGTCCATTTTACCTACTGGAGCCGCGATGTTTTCTTGGATCGCGTGATCCTCTTTTTTTTTCGAGGCACCCAATGTTGGCCACTTCCCCATTCCTTGATCAAGTTACCAATTTTTAAATAATATACCGTACTGAGAAATTCATCGTGAAAATTAAGATTAATGTTTATGAACCTAATGTATTAAAGTAGATTTAGAATGCATAGAAGTGAGAAGTTTTTTCTTGGGTGGTAGAGTATCATTAGAGTACCATAGGAAGTCTTTGCTCTTGTGAAGGATTCTCAAGATTTTTTAATTTACTTATATCTAACTTTTACGTTTACTAAATCAGAGCATCGACTAGACTGATTTCCTGAAACCCTAAACCCGCGTAACATTGCCTCCTAATTTTCCAATATCAAAACCTTTCCCTGCCTTAATATTATCCAGCTTCCTTTTTGAACCACTGAATCGTCCTAAAGAATCGATAGAATTTGCATCTACACGAGCCAGAATAACAGAACCCAAAGATCCTTGAATTATACAATGGAATGGCTTGAAAGAATGAAGCAAAAACCCTTCAAACTCGAGGGTTCAGCATGAAATTCAATAAATTCAACGACGCAAGAAGATTTCAACGTGGCCCGTTGTCGGGATCTTCCTGTAAATTAAGTAAGTTTGTGAATGGTAAATATTTAAATCACTTCATCTCGAAAAGATTCAGAACGACCTACGCGCTCTGCTGGAATTATAGTTGGCGACAGAATACCGCCTCGAGGTTCAAGTTCTTCGTAGATGTACTCACCGTGTAGGGAACTCCTGATGACGTCGCTGCATCCAATTCGCGTCGGAGGCAATCCCTAAAACAGACATACGTACGGTTAGATGAAACGGTAATCGAGTTGTTGGGGAATTGAAACAACGCAAATCGCAGATGACATGAGGATTGGATAAAAAGATTTAAGCTGATTAAATTAGTCTATCACCTGGAAGAAAGGAGGGGTGGGATATATCGGAGTAGATGAAAAAAAACAGTGATGCAAATTAATTGGAAATTACTTGGGGATGATATTTGTTATTTTCACGGGATGGTCTATATTTTTATTTGCGCACTCGCGAGAAGATGTTTTAGAAATAGGATTTTCCAAAGGAGACTTTAGGGGTTTGTCAAATGACATCATCTTTATTTTTTAATTCTAATCATGTGTACTGTCATTTATATTTAAGAATATGATAATTAAAAGTGATACAATATAAAATATATGCACTATTATAATATATATACATATTTATTATGATAAGCATTTTTAATATATTTCATGTTCAATTCTAATTATGTGCACTATCAATTAAATTTAAGAATATGATAATAGAAAGTGACACGTTATAATATATACTGTTATAATATGTATATACGTATCTATCAATTGTAAATATGAATCGAATATCATTTTCAATATGTTTCATGTTCAATTCTAATCATGTTTACTATCAATTAAATTTAACAATATGATAATTGAACGTGATACATTGCAATGTATATGTATGTACTGTTGTAATGTATGTACGTATCTATAATGATAAATATATGAGTATATTAAAATATAATCTATCGTAAATATAAATTGAATATCACTTATGTTTCATGAATAAAGTACCAATTTTAAAGCCACTTTTGGAACTCTTTAAATGGTCAAACTATAGGAGATTATTGTATTTATCTTGGGGATGAAGAATGGCTGGCGCATGTCAGAAAACACTGGTCCGCGAATTTACCAAGTTACATTCCATGGTTATCAATCTTATAATGCAAATCGCATTTGTAAGTTTCGTCGCCAAGTGAATTCGTAGCTATCGATTCACGTTTCCAGATCTCAGCGGGAACTGAACACGTAGATGTCAAATTAGGTTTGTAAGTTTAGCCATCAACCGAATTCGCAGCTATCAAATCACGTTCCTAACAAGGAAACATCGCAAACTATCGGACGCTGATTTTGATGGAACTTTGCGCGAGCGTTCATTGGTCCGAACCCGAGAACTATGCCTATATTTTCATCCTACTGCTTCCAGAGTCGTATTTATGTCGCTCATTAATTGCAAAAGACATACTAGAAACAAATTTTTGCATTGACAATTTAATTAAACATTTCGCTCCGATGTTACTCTAATTTAAAAGATACTAGGAACCGTGCAAGTTTGATTTAAAACAATATAAAATTGTAAGTCATCTAAGCTTTACACATAAGTAGAAATATTATAAAAAAAAAATGTATCATTGAAACGGGATTAAGTAAAAAATTATTTCATATCATTATGAGAATAACTCCTCAGGTCATCTGAAGTTCAATATATCACGCATATTTAAATTTGTCTATCAACTATAACATTACAATAATTAAAATACCCCAAACCCTTTAAAAAACAATGACCTTAAAATTCCATAAAATAAGACCTTCAGATAATTTTCTTTTCTATCACAGTATGTCACCTCCGAACCAGCCACCTTCATCATTAAAAGCAACAAAGGAATTTTAGGCATCCTCGAAGACTCTCCCTGTATATACCAACCATAAAAGCTCTCATACAGGCAACCATCGTCCTCGGAACAAGCAACGTCAAGCGAAATGCTCCGAGCTCACCATTATAGTGCATTATTCAAGCTGACACTTGCGCAACGCTTAGCGTGGCCAGGTCCTCCTACGGGCAAGAATGGTCTGCGAAAAACAAAAATCCGAGAGGACAAGGATCCGCTCGCCGCGACGTCGTCCAGGGGAGGAAAGCTGGAAGGAAAACTGGGGATGTCCAACGGGGACGAAACGGACAGCGCTACGAAGACGACTACGACAATGTCGCGCTGATGCTGAAGGAGGAAATGTTATTTCTTTGGGACAGTAAGTGACAGCTCGAAGGACATTCGGAGATACTCGTGCCAGAATGTTGCAGCGACGGCTACACAAATCCGTTGAACGCCGACGGACGAATCATCCCGCGACCGAGAAAGTTGGCCGAGGAGGATGGACAGCGACGAAACGAGTCGTCGGAAATCATGCTGTTACGGGGCTGAGCCGGGAAATGGACGATAGTTGATCCTTCCTCGAGATGTCGCGACGGTTTAAGGATGGATTAGTGTCCGGGGATGAAGGACGAGGTTTTTAGAGAATGGAAGGACTATTGGAGGGGACTTTGGACTTTTACGAAGGCTGGACCATCGTTCAATTCGAGGAGGGTCACGAATTACCCCAAAATTGCCAACTGTACAATTCGCCAAGGCAACGTTGCCTCAGTTACTATCATTGGCAACATTGTCTTCTTTAGATATTAATTCTAAGGAAATGAATAATAATCCAGACTTTTCACGCGATGTTCGCACGTATCTTGAAGACTAAGAAAATAGTATTTGTTAGTTATGAAGCGAGGTAAAAATGGCGAGGTAAAAATAGGTACTCTGTTGATTGAGGTCCATTTGTCGAATTATTACTATTGACCAGAAAGTTTGTGTCAATTTTTAAGAAAAATTCAGGGGCACATTTGAATTTTGATATATATTTATTGTGTTATATATTGAGTTATATTGGTACCATTTTCTTCCAAAACCTTTTAACTCTTTAAAGGATGTATACATGTTATTTGTTTTTAACCATTCTGATATATTCAGACCTATACCACCTACCGAAAATCGACATGAACATTCTAGACAATCCAATCTTATTATCAAATACATTCGTAATTAGAAGATTAGAAGAGTAATACTATTAGAAGAATAGTATAATAAGCAAAATTTTATTGCTAATAAACTCATATACATTCATATGTTATAATGATCATCAAGTTGAGATCGAGGTTATGAAATACGAAGATTCATTCCAATGGAGATCAGGTCGAGAACCTAATAAGATTTTTAATGTAACATATAATAACAAAATGACGATTATAAATATTTTTATTTAAACTAGAGTTCTAAACCTACAAACAACAAGGTGTGTACCTATTATGTCCATAAACGCACCTACGCCTACGGGGATCAACACATCATCTCAAAAATACGTATCCAATGCATAAGACGTTGCCTAACCTTTACACGGCGCGTTTCATGCGTATTATTCCTCGCTGAACGGTAGCCGACGCAACCAGTTTTGGCGTGACAATAAATTCTTCATTCCGATCTACTTGTTCCGTCGCGCGTGTCCCGCCATGCGGAACCGTCCAGTTGTACAGTCAATTTAGAACGGGCTGTGCCTTTTGCGGTAGATAGAGGCAACCTTTTTAACCGTGCTCCGTTACGCATAATTTACGTTCATTATCTTTAATGGGCGGGCTATTAAGAGGGGCGCGAGTAATAGTATGGCAATACCACTAATGCTTCCGCTCCTCTTACTTTATACCCCCTCCCTCCCTCCCTCCTGCCCCGTTCTTTCTCCTTTCCCCTTTCGCCTCGTTCTTTCAGCCGGGCGGTCGTTTCGCCATTTTTCTGCCAGCACGCTTTAGAGGTCCGCGCGAAGCAAACGATGCCCGCTGCCAGGGGAGCATTACTCTTCGCGCGGAAGAGCGCAATAATCGGTACGAATGATCGTACCCGCCGAATAAAAACTATTTTTTACAACGGCAGGAACCGCTCCAACGTGTAATTCGATAGGAATCGATGGACGATCGTTTTTCTTTTCTTTGTTCATCGATGTCCACTCGTTTCACCCGCGATAACGACCGCATAAATCTCGCGGCCGGCGTTGTGTTTTTTTTCCTCTGGCCCGAAGCCGGCTGCAGCATTCGCTCAATCGAGTGATCGATGGACCGGGGACGTTACGACGTCTTTGCTTTTGAAGATCTGAGATGGTATTTTCGAACGAAGGTAAACCGTCCCATTAGCGACAGTGGAAGAATTTCTATAGGTCTGTGTAACTTTCTGGTTACGCGATAGTATATAGTTGTAGTACCAAATAAGTTTAGTTTCTTCGCGATATGACGTATACGTCTTAATTGTATAATTTCTCTGATAATCAATAAGGATGTTGAAGATGATTGACAGCATCATCGCCCTGATATATCAAAGTAAATGTTAGGTTGGTAATGTATATGAAATGTTGTTTATACAAATGAAACTCTACCTATATAGAACTATTTTTAATCAAAATAGTTGTACATTTTACGTTGTACATTTAATTAAAATAATTTTCACATAATTCTATATTTTTATTAATTTTTGATGGATTTCTTCTACTTCGTTGCAATAAGATTCTGCATTAATTATGCAATCAGGGGGTAGAAAATGATGATGAGTAAGTCAGTTTTCTAATAAAGAAACCTCCAGCTTTGAATTGTTAAAATCAGCATTGAATTATCGCAACATTCGCATAACCTTCTTCAAAACCTAAAACTAAAACTAAAATGTTTTGCTTTGTAGCAATTTTCACCGCCATTTTTACAAGTTTATACTCATTTCAAGTATTCTAAACATCTTTGGTATTTTAACGGGAGTGGCTTGGAGTATATTTCTTCCTCTTTAACACGATTACAATCAATTGATGACAGAATAGACTAAAATGAATGTTATTGGCCCGAATGTTTCAAACGCTAAAAAAAACGACATTTCATATGCACCAACCTAACACCTTGAAAGTTGCCTGCAGAAAAAACATTCGGCAAATAGAGGGTTAATTTAATAAAAACAGATATCTCTAACTACCATGTAAGATTGTTGACTACCACGTATAGAAATTATTTAGTTTCCCAATTGAATTAATTGTACACAGTAATCTGCTTCCTAATGTTGTCGATAGTAATAAAAACCCCTTCTTTCTCCACTCTGCCACAGCAATCTTGCGTAATCTAATAAAATGTAGAACACGACCGCGGAATTTCCGAATATATTCTCGCAGCCGCCTCCAAGTATCTGAAAAGCGGCGCAAAAATCGTGCCTGGTGTGTTTTCCCGAGCGTCTGCCTAAAGAAACTCCAGCACGGAAATGGTTAACGCTTTCACGGAAATTGATTCTACATCATGCATTTTGTATTCGTCCGAGTAAGTATTCCTCGATGCAAAACGCATTTGAAATCAAGCCTGTGATCGATTCCACTCCTCTCCCCCCCTCCCCCTCCCCCAACGACGGCTTGCCGTTTTATCACCCGAACGAAACGTTTCCGTCTCGAAAGCAACGATCTTCCCGCAATAAGTAATATCGCGGCGCCGCGGCGTAAAGTTCGTAACGCCGCGTATGCTTCGGTAACTCTCCATTCGGTCGACGTTCGCATGGTCGGAGAACACCGTCAAAGGGTAAACTTTATTCCACGGCATTCCTTTTGCAGGGGCTCCGAGCGAGTAGGATAATCGAGACTCTATTGTGAGCTACTAATAATATTAGCTTTCGGGGCATGCCGCGTTTTGCATCCTGTGCGCTGGTAATTCGCAAACGCTGCGACCCTTTAAAGATCTCTGATACCGGGGAAACCTTAATCATGATGACGCGCCATCGGCAGACTTACCAGCAGTATTGCTATTGATTGGTAATTTGCGAATTCGTCTGAGGTATTTGCGAATTCTTTGAAATTTGGTGTGTACGATTTTATTTTATCCAATGTAGTGTACGGCATAATTTAGTACAATACGTTGATGTATAATAAAGTGAGATGCAATGTAACGTAATACAATGTAGAACTGTAATGTTGTACATTATAGCACTGTATAATAATATGTAGTACTGTATGATACAATCTAATACGGTATAACACAGTATTATATAATATAATTATGTAATACTAGCAATAGTTGTATGCAATGTAATGTACAATATAATTTAATACAAAACATTGATGTATAATAAATTCTATATACAATGTAGAATTGTAACATTGTCTATAATAGCACTGTATAATAATATATAGTACTGTATGATACAATATAATACAGTATAACACAGTCTTATACAATACAATTATGTAATACTAGCAATAGTTGTATGCAATGTAATGTACAGTATAATTTAGTACAATACATTGATGTATAATAAAGTGAGATACAATGTAACGTAATACAATGTGGAACTGTAACGTTGTACATTATACAGCACTGTATAATAATATATAATACTGCGTTATACTGTATATAACACAGTATAACACTGTATTATATTTTATCAGTCAATATTATATCATATCACACATTATTATACTGTATTACATTTTATCAGACAATTTATTAATACAATTATTATTTCCATTCCACCAAAAAATACGATTTAAAAAAATCATTTGCCTAAATTTTACCCTCTAGGCTATGATAGAAAACGCTTTATAACAAATTAATTTGTACTCTATCAAAATTCAACCTACAACAACCCCAAAAAACAAACACCAATTTCTAATATTAATTAGACACCCTTTGACTGCAAAGGGTGTATATATATCAACGCACATACCAAAATCCAGTAACGAAACGAAGTCAGGAGCCCTGCATAAACGAAATTTTTAAATTTCTCAAATCAATTTTTGCTCATTAATTACTGCCTCTCAGGAACTTTGTTTCCTTCGATCTTCACAGTTTCGTACTTGGTATTAAGCACGACTGTACAGTTCATGTAGAGGACGATCGAAGAAACCCCGATTCTTTCTACCTCGACCTTGAACAATTCTTCGTTGCGAGTAACAGCGAGCTAATCGTCAGCGAAACATTAGTAAGATCTTTAGATATAAGAAATTCTCGGCGATGAGAACCGTACGTAGAAAACATGCAATCTGGCGCTCTCGTAACTCGAAAGGTACACGAAAAGCAAAACGTTTTCTTCGAGATCGCGCACGAAATCGACTTGGAACGAGAGAGAGAGATACATATATATAGAGGGATGGAGGCGCGTATAATATACTGATTTTCACGTTCCATGTGGGAGGATATATTCGCCTCACGTCCGTGCCAGATTTCCTTGAGTTATATCGGCAAATGCGGAGGAAAATGTGTTGTTCGGAACGTTGTTGCCTCGCTAGGACAAATTTTTCACGGCTGCACACTGGCATAGGAGGTTTTACGCTCGCAGACAGACCGTGCAGCTTTGTCGCGAGCCCCAATTTATTCTTTGATTGCTCCATTGTATGTTTGCTCATCTCGTTTTATGTACTCCCGCGTAAAAAACGTGTACAGCTGGAGAGAAGAAGCGTTATCAATGATTCAATGGGAAGTGGTATCCTTCCTCGGGCGAAATCGTTTGCGAGCCGAATCGTAACGTGTGCCTTTTGTTCTTTATTCTTTCTAGTTTTATTTGACTATTGTATAATTGTACGAAAGTGTGATAGTATAGTCATAGTGCTCAAATAGAAAGACCTTCGCTCTAAGGAAATTTCGGTACCTTTAATTTCAAAGGTCAGATCACTGCAGAACCAACAGGACTACAGAAAAATGGTCCTCGATCAGCAGAATGCCGAGCCATTTTTACGACCCACATAAGTAAGTAAGAAAAATTATTTTCTTGGTCTCCAAGATACACGTAAACATTCTACAAAAGAGAAAGTCTAGAAGTGCATTCATCCCTTTGAAATTAATTTCAGAAGAAGGCTGCAACAAATTCTAGCAATCATGCAAACTCTTGTAACACAGTGTACTTTCCTATATAACAACCGGCAGGAACAAAACAAAAATGACCGGCTGACTAACAACAGAATTCTATACTTTTATTATATTTTTAGCTATTTTCGCCCCATCGTTGTCAAAAGAAACAAACGTTAAACAATGAAGAATGCGATCTTTTACTACCCTCGCCAAACAAACACCACCGAAACGCAATTATCTTCCCATCGTGGCCAGCTGTACCGAACAACAACGCAATAAAATTATCACTGTACGTCCATTGGCCAACATTTCGCGGCTATTTTCCGCGCGCAGGATCATCGAACCCTATTAAACGCGTGTCCTTTCCACCTAAACGACCTAGCAAATGGCTTTCGCCGGAATGACAACGCGAAAACCTTCCTCGTCGTCTTCCGTCGCTCATTCTCGCGTGTTTACTTTCGCGGAACAGCTGACAGACCGTTGGTAATCTTCGTGTATTACACAAGCGATAGTCAGAGTTCGCAAATGTCTCGCGGATGACTGATGGACGCACGCCACCTGACTATGCCAGGTA